AGTGTTAATATAAGAACTAGTTAATTAATTTAAATAGATTAAAAAAATTAATTAAATCAGTTTTTGATAATGAATAGGTATTGTTTTTCTTAAAATATTACTGTTTATCATGTATATTAATTAGAACTACCATTTAAGGAAACATTTACTATGTGAAACTACTATAAAGTTTTTAAAAAAAAGTAAATAAATATGAGAGAGAAAAAAGATTGGGATATTGTATTTAGAACCAAATTAAAAGTCAAAATAGTTCTTATATTAAATATACGAGGTAATATAAGAATTAAAGGATTTTATTTAGATAATGATGACATCAACAATTTGTATTCTCATTTTAGAGTTGCCTTTGGATAATTTATTTTTATCTAATTAATTTAATTCTACTTTTCTGAATAATTAATAAAAAAAACTTTGTGGAAAAAATATTAATGCACTGAACAATCCAGCGGACATCTTATGAGAAAAAAGACCAGGTTCCTATAAAAAGATAAGGAGGGAATACCTTTTTATATGGAAGTGCATATTGATCCTAGCCTTTTTTTGACCTTTATCCTAGCCTTTTCACACCCAAGACAGGAGAATCATTCGCTTCATGAAATTTTGCCACCTCAACAGATTTTGAAGCCTAGTGGGGTCATTTGTTGCGTTGATGCTGGGATACAACAGCGGAGAAATCCTTTTTTTTTTTTTTTTCTTTCTCCCTTTTGTTGGAAAAGACTAGTAAAAATCATGCTCCTTAAAACAAAACTCATTTTATAATATAAATGTTACCACAAAATAGATTTTACATTCAATGATACTCTTCTGATTTAAAATGTAAGATTTGTTTTGTAGTATAGATTCATTTTATAACATAAATTACACTACAAAATAGATTTTATATTTAAGAAACAGTAGTATAATAATAAGTGATGTAATTATGAACAACAGGACACCATTAACAGCAGAAAGCCAGTGAAAAATCTGAACTCTGAAATGTTCTGGGCTTTCCTTTTCTTGGTGTGCTTGATGTTCTGAAGGGAAAAGTCTCTCGTAAGTTGCGAGTGGGAAAATATTTTGATAGAATTGTTTGTTACCATCTGTTATGATTTGTAATCCAAATATCAGCTTCTTTTTATTGACATGTTCTTGTATATGAAATTACTTTCTAAATGGAAAATAAAATGCCTAATTTATCATAAATTATTCGATGTTTTGATGCCAGTGTTGTTTTCCCGAATCACGAGGACTCAAACAATTCAAAAACAGTGTAAAGATATTGTGTGTAGGCCTAAGAGAAAAGATATTGAGTTTAGGCCTAAACTGTTATATCCCATCTTGTATTGAGATGCTGTTAGGAGGAGACGAGTCACGGGCACAGGACGGAACACCCTTACTATCATCATCCAAACCTTTTCCATGTGAGTAATCTCTCTCCTTTTAACAAATCACAAAGCGCAATCGAGGGACTTGACGAGGTGGAAGAGTAGCATCCCATTATATAAAAATACTAGTTCAGTTCAGTATACATCGTAGTGAACAGCCGCTCCAGATTATTACCATCATTACATTATTATAACTAGTGGAGCTTCTGCTAGAGCTTTGAACCTCTACTAATTCAAATTTTAAGGGCTCCCTTACACTTGAAGCACTCCACAGTCTCGTCGTAGATCTGTTCTAACCCAAACTGATAACTGAACCCTTCTTTGATAAGCTTCTCTGAAGAGATTACCAACTTGGCCTTGGGGGGGAAGTCATCAAATCTGCAGTTATAACATGATACATCATTACTTAAGAATGCTAGCATTTTTTCCTTTGGCTTTTGTATGAGATCCCAAAGGCAAGAATCTTAGGATAAAGTGTCATTTACAGTATTTGGATCAGAAGCTTACTGGGTTGGGATTTTGTACTGAGGGTATCGTTTGTTAAGGAACTTTGCAAGCTCAGGAACACTTGTATTGCGAGCACAACAAATGTATCGACCAGAAGCAGATTCTTTCTCGGCCAAAAATATGTGTGCTCGGCAAACATCCTTCACATGAGTGAGAGATATTGAACCCGACAACAGCTGCATGCCTTTCAAAGCATTTATGAGGAAATCATTGCCTGCAATGCAATTTAACACCAATCACTACATAAATTTAAGTATAATGCTCAACAGATTTGGATCTTCTTATTTGACATTCTGGCATTTGAGAAGACGAAATTGACATAGAACAATTAACCTGATGATGGGTGTGGCAGTTTATACCTGTAATTAGGGACATGGTTAGACCAAGACTGCCTGGGATTTCTGGAGTCAGAGAAGCACCGCCGATCGTCGTAGGTACCACAGTGATGAGATCTATATGATTTTCTTCGGCAAATTTCCATGCAGCCTTCTCTGCTAGTGCTTTGGACACAGGATATCCCTGTGTTTGCATAAATTTATGTGTTGAATGATTTGGCTATAAAATCCCAACTACATGTTCTTGATAAGAATCACCTATCCAAAGTTCTCAGTTAAGCTTCACGATACAAGACACGAGGATTGACTACAGAAACGTAACATGTAAACATATTGAAAGTAGTTTCCACAGATGTGTGCATATCATTTTAGGATTGATAAGGGCCCATCTATCTATTGTAAACCAGATATACACAAAGATTTTTCATTGGACTATTACCCAAGTAGGTGGTTTTGCAGTGCTCAAAAAATCAACGTCAGTCCAATTGTTTTCGTCCATAACTAGACCAGTCCCTTCTAATGCATTAACTGAGACAGCGGCTGCTGAAGATGTCAAGATCACTCGTTTAACTGCTTTTGCTCGTGCACATGCTCTCAAGACATTCAATACGCCTTGGGTTGCTGGTTTGATCATGTCATTCTGTACAGAGTTTAGCAGAATAATGCTTGCATTAAATAAAAGACGCACAAATAAACATACAGAGATTTAAAGTATGATTTTCAGTTTTGTATTATATACCTCAGGATCTTCAGAAGCAAAGTTCACAGGAGTAGCAACATGGAAGACGAGTTGACAGCCAGCTATAGGGGCATCAAATTTGTCTTCTTCCGTCAGATCTGCTCCAAATATGTTCAATTCTCCCAATTTTTGCAGTTCTACGAGATGGGATATTTTTTTGCGATCATCTGCTCCAAACATTGGAGTTAGGACTTCAGTTCATGACAAAATCTGAATTAATACTCCAATGTCAAAAGCCTAATCACTGGTAGTTTTTTTCAAGACAAAACGAAAAACACAACCACAAATATGAACTCATCTTCTCATTGCGTCAATAATGCAAGCATGGTTTTGGTGATCAGACATGCACTTGGAAAACAGAATAATTTTAAATCCAGTCAAAAACTCAATCGAACCAATTGAAATTCAAAACCAAATCAACTCTGAAAACGGAGTCAAACTGAAGATTGCTGCTACAATCAACTGATCAGAGTTATTACATTTAGGGCAAAAAGCAAGGAAAGACAAAAGGAACCTGGATTTCGAGCAGTTGTATTAACAGCATATCCCTTGAGGAGCAATTGCTTAACGAGCTCAGAAGCGACGAACCCAGTTCCTCCCACAACGCAAGCCTTCTTGTTCTTCCCGATTTGATCCATTTCGCCCGGTTACTCTCTGCGACTGATGACGAAACGATCGGGTTAAATACTAATATGGCGTTTCATACGATTCATAACTGTAGAATTAATATGGCGTTGGTTGAATTGAGTAAATTCAGAGCTAGAATGTAAGCACCTGATCAACTGTGGCGCCACCAACTCCCTCCAAAGATCAAAAGCCTTTTCATTTTTTTATTTGTTGAATGCTTAATTGATCATATAAAAACAGAGTTGACTAATTGTAAATTTTAGCAAGGACTAAACATATGGTTGGCCAAACAAAGAAATAAAGAACGAAAGGAATGAATAAGCAACTTCACCAACCGCAAACGGTCCCCCTCTACTTAAATGAGATCCCAATGGAGCCCATTGGCAACAAATAGGAGAGACGGCTCCAACGTGAGAAAACGACTAACGCCCGGCTGATTTGGCATGCGTATTGCCGGGGGAAAAAAAAAAGGAATTATTTTGTTCTTTTATTATTTGCCTGAATTTCTGATTTATTCTTCATAATTTTTTTGAAACAAGTTGCCCTTATAATGTTGAGCTGTGTCAATGTTTATTCTTACATTGTATAAATGTTAAAATTATATGTATTAACTTTAAAGCGTCTGATAACTGAAAAGTATAAGGATGATTTGAAAATAACAAATAAAAAAAAAGCAAGAATTGACATTTAAATCTCAAAAGTTCAATTTAATTAAGGTAAAGTAGCGTCTAGCACGCTGATGTCATTTTTTAGATGTATCCAGTATTCTAATATTTTTTATGATGTATCAAGCACCCTAATCGCGTTATTGTCTTGGCGCATCTAGCACCTTTTTATGTTTTTTTTTTTTGCTAAAGTATAGGTATCCTCCTATTGGAAGTAATCTTATTTGAGACACTGTCGGGCACTATGTGGACACTTCTCCCAGCAGGGATTCAAACCTTAGTTCACCACGTTGTGGGAAACTAACCCCTTCTGCTAGACCCAACCCATGTTAGTTTCTTTATATTATTTTTTAGTTACATCTAACACTTCAATCTTATTTATGGTTTTAGATGTCAGATGCAATATAAATAAGATTAGGATATTGAATACACTATAAATAAAATTAGAATACTGGATGTACCTAAGAAATAACATCAGCGCTAGGTTGCAAATATTGAATTAGTCAATTACAAGTTGATGAGTTCAAATTGCAACTATTTAAGATTGACACGTGAGACTTAGATAATTAACTTACAAATAAGAATCTCGTATATTTATAACTCATTTTGTAAGAAAATTTTTTGGGGCCTAAAAATTAGTATTAAATTTATTCTCTGGGATATAGGTATCATCATTCTTCCTGGAATCAAAATAAAAGTTAATGTAAAATATAGGCAGCAAATAATTAGGTTTTTCCGAAATTTTATCTCAAGTACTCAACATTCAGGGTTTGTATATTACCCCAAAACAAGGAAGTATAGCTCTAGGATCCAACACATAAAGCTCTTCAACCTCTAAGTCACCATTCCTCTTGTCTGCCAAAGAATCAAACCCAGAATTCTCCTCTTCAATTTCTTCCACAGAACTATACAAAACCCTACCAGCTATTACTCTGCACACCATAACCGACTTCCTCTGAGATGATCCCATATCAGATTCATCAGAATCAAGTGACCCTATGGATTCAAAGGCCTTATCACAGGTTGAATTGGTGAGGACCCCAAATGAACCACGAAACTCTTTGGTGGTGAAGGAGCCATGTCTCAGAATCTGACACACACAACAATGTTCTGAAGTGCACAAACCAGAAGAAGAAGAAGAGCCATTATCGGTACCCAGTGAACATATGAGGGTTGTGCCATGAAACCTTAGAAGCTCATTGCCATCAACAAGGCAACGAGGTTGCTTCTTGTGTGACTTTTCAGCATCGTTCTTTATCATTTCCCTGTATTCATCAAACCTAGCGAACGTTCTTGGGCTGTTCTGAACCTTGAGCACAGATTCAATCTGCCCTGACTTGGTCTCGGAATTAGTACAGTTTGTTCTACATATTGTTTCTATTATCTGCCTTGTTGAATCTTCTTCATCAAGTTTAATCACTGCAAAAAGAATAGGTACATTTTGAAGTCATAGTACAGTAGATTCCTGCAGGAATCAAATTCGGGCCATCATACTAAAACTTTTGTCAGTGGGGTAATTACTAATTATCCATTTCTTCCACTACTAAACAATACCTTGGTGGTTAAAAATATTAGGTTTTTGCGTAAAGAATGCCCTAAAATGACTTTTACTAAGTAAAGACAATAATGAATTTTGCTTTTGTGAGATTCATGTGTCAAAAATAGAGCCAGTTATTCTCTCTTTATATTTGTCTTCACTTAAAAGTCATCTGAAATTTGTGTGCGCTAAATCATATCTTATTTTTCGCGAATCACCAAGTGCAGCAGAAGACTTTGGATCAACATTGGAGGACATGAAAACCGATAACTTCGTACTGCAGAATCTAAAATGGAATAACGTGTGATAGGCCAAGTTTACATGAGAAGAATTCCACAGGGTCAATGAAAAATCTCAATTGTCTCAAGAAAGCAGAAACGCCTCAAACTCAGAAGATGATAATTCGAGCAGGAAAAAGATTGGTCAATACCTGAATGCTGGGAGACATGGTGTGCTTCAACAGCATCAACAAATTTTAGTTTCTCCCCACACTTGAGACAAACCAGATTATTATTATTATTATTAGAATCTGTCTGCATCGAAACCCTTGAGTTTGAGGAGGATATGTTACATTCATTGCAATCAACATGATGGGTCTTCTTTGAAGGTGTAATTGTTGGACTTGCTGATTCATGAGGGCCTCTCGCTCCTTTACTTGAAGGACTTCGACAACATCGACAAATCCGAAATCCATTGAGGGACATGTCAAGGACAACCTTATGGGTTATAGGGTTAAGGATGTCACTGCTCCTTAAGGATTTGATTAGGCTGCCACTGTTTGGTTTCTCACAAAGCATATTGCTTGTTCTTTGGAAACAATCCATTGAATTTGAATTCTTCTGAGGAATTCTTTTTGGGATGGTCGCTTCTGGTTCATGAACTTCTGATGGGCTTGGTTTGCAGTGAATTGATCTCTTCAGAGAAAGCCAGAAATTGTCCCGCATCTTCTTCTTCTCCTCCTCCTCCTTTCTCAGCTTTACTTTTGCTCTCAAAAGTTCAATGAATATTCTAAAAGCTTTGAGAGATGAAATATGCGTAATATCTCCAGTTTCAAAGGAAAGCGAACGATCAAGGAAAGACATTGCCTCTCAATTACACAGTTCTTTTATTTGCACGTTGTTTCCATCTATAGCAAGATAGTGTTTTGACCAGCCATGGAATTTCCAAAATTTAAGCTATTCAATGACTTGAGAATGCCTATTTATCATTGTTGGGTTCGTTTTCGAGCAGCGTCGGAGAGTTGTACCTTTTGAGATTGATTTTGGCATCTGATATTTAAAAATCGTATTCTTCTTAGTCTTTGACATTGAACGAAGAGAAAATTACATTAATCGAACGGAAGCTCGGATGGTGACAATCTCACACAATAAACATAAAAAATAATGAAATAAAAAAGTTTTTTTTCCGGGAAAAAAAATGTTATCACAGCTCTGAATCTATATATACAATAAATAAAAATCAAAGCCAAGCTGAGCCATTTTCTTATTCATAATGGTTCCTCACTCATTTTACTGTTCTATGAACAGTAACGGCTGTGTGAACAGTACAGGCTTACATTTCGGGCTGCGTGTTGCTTACCTGTTGCGTGTAACTCTATTGAAATAACATCCACATGTGCATGACAGTTTTTGCTTAGTATTGTACGTTAGTTACTCTATCCAGGTTTCTTATAAATGGTTTTGCAAATGGGTTGGCGCAGCTACTTCATTTTTGAGTTGGGGATATCTTTAGTTGAGGTAGTTCTTTCCTAATTCGCTTCAACCTTTTTTTTTCTTTATACTATTTGGCAGTAGTTTCTTGACTCATCTCGGTGGTAAGCAGGGCATAAAAACACCGTTGAACGCACGAATATGGTTGTGTTTGATGATGATGTAACTGCACTTAGGTATTTTTTTCTTCCAGAATGAATACACTCCTTGCATTTTCATGCGTTCTGTTGTTTGTGACCAATTCCCTCATATCTTGCTTCATCTTGTCCTAAAGATTAATAATTTTTTTATGGTTGGTGCTTTCAGAGGTTTAATGGTCTCGCTTTGTCATTCATTTCATAAAAATCGAGTGTTTAATGTAGTATGATTGATTTTATAACAATGTTTTTTTTTCCTCGCAGGGACAGCTTCTTGGCAAATTACACAAATGATACTAGAGTGTACTGGAACCCTTATTTGTTCAACATCCAATTTGGATGATTTCTTGCCAACAAGAGGTGTGGATCCTTTGGGATGGTTCTTCGAACACCCACTCCTTACAATGGCGTTGTTGCCGGTGGCGATACTCTTTCCTCTGCAGTTTTCTGGTGAAAAGATGACGGGGGCTCTGGAATCCTTGACGGCAGCGGTGGCAGCTCCCCTCTAATCTTTGCTAGGGTTAGGCTCTTTTAGGGTTTCTTTTGTTTGTAGTGTTTGGGCTTCTTTTCCTGTAGACTTTTGTTGGGCTTTGTACCTCTCTTTTTATCTATTGAAATTACTATATTCTCTGGTCAAAAAAAGAAGAAGAGAGAATTGTTGAGGCCCGATTAGAGAAGATGAATATGATTTGGAACTGTATTAGGGTAGTTAGGGCCATAGCTTTTGTAAGTAGTGGTTTCGGGCTATAAGTTGATGACAAATGTTTTGTTAGGTCCTTACTAGTGGTGATCATTCATATGTAATGGGGTACTTCATACTTAAGTTTGTATGGGTTGTTGGATGTTTTAACTTATATGATGTATTAATTATTGATATATTAGTTATGACTTTCCGCGATGCTTACGCACTGTATATGATATGCGTGATCTTAGTTATGCTTTATGTTAATATTTGCTTTAAAATTTGTCAAGTTATTCAACAGGGTCATCGAGGTGTTAAAGATACATCCTTATGTAGTTTAAATTGGGTATGTTGAGGCGTGGCCCAATATGTTTGATAGGATTGTGGACTTCAGTATTTTAGGTTACTAAGTTTTGGTTAGCCCAAACACTGAATAAAAAACTATGGGTTAATTTAGTAAGTCCAGGATTTCTTTATTAGCCTAGTATTCAGTATGTTCAATTTAGATACATTCAAAAAAAAAATTGGGCTGATAAGGAAGATGCATGATTTGAATGTTTATTTCTTACTTCGATGATTTATTATAAGTTTAGTATAAATGGTAATATCTAACCAAAAAAATATAAAAGGTAACAAGTATGAAATTGTTTCGTTATAAATTTTTTTAGCTTTAAATTGAAGAGAACAGTTACCTGAATCAACTACTCAAAATTACTCAAAATTAATGTGACATTTTTATTATGTTTTAATTACCCTAAAAAAATAAAGATAGAAACAAAAAAAACTTCTTATTTACAAAAAGGAAAAAATAAATTGTTTACAAAGGTGGACTTGATCTAGGATAAAAACCTAGGACCTATGTACCTTTTAGAGGGATCAAAACCCACGTAGTTCAGAGATAAAAATGTTTGTCACTTGTTTGTCATTTTTTAGAAAATATTTATTCAATTAATAAAGGTGTTCTTTTGTGGATTGATATTTTTTAATACATGAAAATAATTTTTGTATTTTTATTTAGAAAATATTGTTTTGAAAGAAATTTTGGATTACTCTTCCTGTGGAGATTTTCATAACCTCACACAGAGAATAATCATTCGAGCTTGTAGAGGTTCTAAAAACCTCACACAGCTTTGAAAAATATTTTAAGATTATGTATATACATATTTTTTTAAAAAATTTTTATTATTCATTTATAGACATGTGCCCAAAATTTTTTTCTTTCTTTTTATTTCAAAAGGAAAACTTGCACAACCATATTGGTATCCTTGCGGAGACTACTATAGTCTCATACTGTTTACCAATAAATCTAGATACCTACAAAGATTCTGAAAACCTCACATGGTACATATTTTTTTAAAAAAAAAAGCGCCTTTAAAAATAGAGAGAAAGAATACCGAAAAACAATTTATTGAAATTCAAGTTAAACACAGTAGCTAAAAATGAAAGTCTATACCTAATGCTCTATTTATTAATTGGCTTATCTTCTTTTTTATGAAAAAAAATTTGAGAGTCTTTCTTCAACCCTTACTCTCTAATTTATAGGCTCTACCTAGGGTTTTTTTTAATTTTTCTTTAAATTTTATTTTTTAATTTTTTTAAATTATAACTCATAATATAACTTCTTATTTAAACACTAAATCGTCATCAAATTGGGATTTTTTTTTATTTTCATTCTTTCTAAATTTTGACAATTATGAACCCAAAAGGCATTTCTAAATTGAGGAGTCAATTATCTTTAATAAGGAACTTTGATTTTCATTTTTAAATTTTCTTATTTTATTTTTTTAAAGACTCTACCTTGTATTTTCTAATTTGGAGGTCAATTAGCTTTTAATTCTTATTTTTTATTTTATTATCATTTATTGTAAGAGGGATATTCTTATTTACTTTTTCCTTTTTAATTTACCACATGGTAAAAGTGTGTTTCTCTATATAGTATGTTTTTTTTTTTTCATTTAGTTGTTCTGATGGTTCACTAATAAGTTGCTTCATTTTCTGTCACTGTTTTTTCTCAGTGGATTGTAGTGATGGAGTTATATTGTAATCTTTCCTCTCTTAATCTCAGCAAGTGCAATGCAAGTGTGATTGTGAAAGTAGACCAGAAGAATATCAGGAAGAAGGTGTGGTATACTTTGGAAAATTGTCGTCCTGTTTTTGAGGTGGAATCTGTGGACATTCTTTTTTGATGCTCAGGTATGCCTTTTGGAATCTCTTATTAATATTGCATTTTTTGGGTCTATTATAGAGATTATATGTGGACCAATAATGTTCCTTTTTTTTTTTTCAAGAACAGTCGTGTAATCATGCAGTTAATGACCAATGATCACATCGATCAATTTGCATTGAAGTTCGTTGAAGGTGGTGTGCACCAAATTTCTGGTATGTTCATGTTGGTGGTCTTAGTCTGCATGACAGATAGTATATATGTTTTGTCGCTTCAACCGAAGTTATAGAGAGAATAGATGAGTTTCCATGTTATTCATTTAACTTGAAAAATGTTTTTGACATTTGCTATGGAATATTGGAAGAATTTTTTTTATGGTAAGATTTTGTGATGATTTTTTATTTCTAACCGTTGAAGCCTTGAAGGAAAATCTGATTTCTGAAAAAGTTTTGGGTGATAAAGATATTTATGGACTTTTGAAATATTGGAGTTTTGTTAGTCCTATAAAGCTTATTGGAGTATACAGGGAGGAATTGGAGATCGTAAGACATGAGATGGTCACGTTAGAAGGATGGTACTATGGTTTTGATCTTGTAAGCTTAATGTGTTATCCCATTTGAATTTACATACTGATACTTTCATCATTTTGCGGTTATGGAAATTAAATTTTGTCAGTCAGCCGAAGGAGTTGACTATTAAGCTTCATGATGAGTGTGCTGCGATTACTCTTGCCAAGATAGAAGCCAGGGGGTGAAAGCTGAAGATTTTCTGATTATATAATATGCTATTGGCATGCTTCATAAGAACGATGGTACAACAATTTTCCCTTCATTTGTTAATAAGTCACAAGTTCATGTTCGTAATTTCTATTAATAGCAAGATTCAACGTTTATTAGACGGAGTGAGATATTTTATCCTACTTATAGTTGTTATATGCAGGTGGACCCGTGCTTAGCTCATTTTCAGGTGCCACAAGAGTGTTATTTGATGATGATCTTAAGTAGCTGCTGTACTTGTGCACCACGATTGCTGTCGGGAATATGTACCTCCATAATATTTTTCTTATTTTCTTTTTCTGCGTTGTATGTATCCCTCCTTTTTTTAAATCATTGGGTAATTTTTGTGAAGTTCATGGCCATGTAATTAGCGGCATATGCTTTGAAAGAGTTGCTCTAATCTCATCTTGACATGATGTCCTCACATTAAGTGATGGATGGTAGCAGTCATTGATCGATATTCTTGTGGCCCGTGCAACGCACGGAGGATTTTGCTAGTTTTAATTAAATAACTTGTTTCGAGCATTTGCCATCTGTGCACGGGCTACATTGAATAATGTTTATTTCTCTGGGCCAGAGGTAATTGGACAAGCTTGAAATCTTCTTAATTACGCCTTCTCTCCTGAATTATTTATGAAACACGAGTGGGACTGGCCCCTTTGAGGGGGAGTAGATCTTCTCAGAAGCTATTTTCTCCTTGTCTCTCAGAATCTTAACATCCTAGCCATCCAATCCATTAGAGCACTCACTTGGAGACACAAAGCCTTAGAAGTCGAAACTCGAATAGGAACCGTCCGATCCTGGCTGCCTATATTTCATGCCTTTAAAACAATAAACCTTCGACGTTCTGCTAGCTGAACTTGGCGAGAAAGCTTCACGCAAGGCAATCTGGTTCATCTTCATATCATATAAAAATGCAATATGAAGACCCGAACTGATCTTTACAAGTGATTGAGCCATCTCTTGCTAGCATGATAGAAACTCAAGACCATAAGAAATCTGAAGACGACAAAGCCAACGAGGGATATAAACATCAGTTGATGCTTTTCCAAGGGAGAATGGGAGATGGGGAAAAAAAAAAAAAAAAGGCTTCATTATAGTTTTAGTATTACTAAGTTGTTAATAATAGTAAAGAAGTTCCCTTTCTTTTTTGTTTAACAGCTCATAACAAGAGATATGCTTCTCGACTGTGTAAGCGAGAGGGAATACAACATTTTAGTTTCAAGCTGCCATATATATATATATATATATATATATAATGCGTTATAGTTCCAACAAAACTTTTCGTCACATTAAAATTCGACTGGGGCAGCAAGAAAGCCTCAGTGGCTAATGAACGGAGCTCCTTATTTGCGTCGCAGATGGGTTGAAACTTCGATGACAGACTGGCAGAAGGCGTTCGCGATCGAAGGTGATAGGGATTTGGCAGGACATGGAATTGAATGGATGGTCAGGATATAACCAGACGGACGGTTTAGATACAATGTTAAGAGCCTTATGACGTGTCTCCTTATGGGTGCTTGGATGGATTGGACGGGTAGGATTCAAGGCTTCTAAGAGACGCGGAGAAACCGGCCGCTGAGAGAATCCGAACGGGCTTTGAGCGGCATAACACTGATTTTATGATATAACCTTTTTTGTTTGGGAGTTGGTAAGTCCCAAATATTATGTTCTTTGAGAATTTTCCAGAGTTTTCCTCTCCAGAACCTCTGAACCTGAATCTGATTCCTCTATTGAGTACAGTTCAGGAATTCTTCAAGTGTTGTGTTGCTGGCAGATGGTGAGTTTGGAGGGAAAGGTCCAAGAGATAGACATGAAGTGTCTTCTCCCGTGTCAGGCTGGTTAAAATAGGATAAGACATTTTGAAAATCTTGCTGTCGTACCAACCGTGTCACCAGAAATGTTAGAAACCTGATTTCCACCCGAAGACCCCATGTTAAAGAAATTGTCCAAGTGTTTCTCATAGTTGGTGATCCACTCAAGAGGCATCAACTGAGCAAGTTCCTCTTTTGGGAGATGATATCTTCTTACTCACCTTCACAAATAATGACCTTTCTCTGTTCCAACAGAAATCTCTCAGGATCACATTCTTCTGGTGCATGATCCCAAATGAAGTGGCCATTTATGTGAGACACATAACATGGCTTGGCATTCTGATGTGTTCTGACTGAGAAGCCACGGAACCAAGGAAAGGAGACGGATGCACAGGCTGTTCAAGGGAATATAAATACCCTTGAGGACTATCATCTCTAGATGAAGATGTAGAATCCGTGATCGAAGAACAAGATGCTCAGGATGAAGACCCCCTTCATGATAATTGATAACCGCATTCTAAATTGTCTTTAGTTTCAACCCCACCGCATTACTCATTTATTTACATATACCACACAATCAAGCATTTTGGAAAATGAAAACGAAAAGATAAAGGAATATACTTTGTTTTGCAGGAGCACAGCACACAGTTTAGCACAACATGCCACCTAAGAGACATCACTATTACAGCACGAGTTACATAAACCAAACCAACAAGTCACACAAGACCCAACATCCATATACCACCCAATCACCTCAGAACAGGAAATATGATGACCCAAGAACAGATGAATGATTCCTACCCAAGTTGCGTCCTCGGAGGCATTCCACATCCATCACATGGGAGTGATCCACAAAGAGATTTACCTGAAGATCAGAGGGATGATATTAGCAAAGCTGAAGCTGATATAATCTGTTTCTTAAGTGAAAACGAGAAAGTATGATAAACCACTCAGCATTTACGTTGGGACCATAGCGCTTGATAAACCACTCAGATGTTCTCTGATTTGATGCTTCAAACATAATTTTCTCAATACCAAGCCGCCCTATGACCTTTGCAATGATGTCCGCGCGCATAGAATCAGCATGTTTGCAGATATCATCAGCATCGATCATTATCATGTCTGCTCCTGCTTCTAAACATCTCTCTGCCCTTCTGATCAAGAGATCCACATCTTCTACAAATTCTGCGATTTTAAACACAAAGCAATGCCAATGGAGTTGGTCCTACCGCTTTGCTTCTTTTGTTATAATAGATTTAAGATCAATGAAAAAAGTACAATCACCTTGTTGATACGACATCAAATATTTCCCATCGAAAGTCAAGTTTTCGCCTCTTAAGTTTCAATAAATTATGAGCACTGCCCCACCTAGCGTTTAATTAGAGTTTGTTAACCACCAGCTAAGACTGCAGAAATCGGTAGTCCCTGTGAGGGCACATTTGTGTGAATGTAGAATCTGAATCGAGTTTTAATAAGTTCTATTTACTTCTAGGTGAGATTGGATTCCTTTTCCTGGCCTTGTCCTCTTTAGTACTACAGATATTCCAAGCCTGACCTATCTGGAAGAAAAGAGGTGAAGGCATACTTAATAAGCCATTCATCCATCTTTATTCATTCATCTGATTATCCAGTTTATCTAAATTCATATCAAAAGCATCAACAAATTATGAACTTAGATATTTTAATTAATTCTTCTGAATTGCAGAACTTGATCTCTTAAAATCGAGGGACATATTTCCATGATTAGTGAAACTTATTACTGCACACCTGAAAATTGCATTATTAGAATAACGTGCCTAAACCTATGAACATGCTTATCAATAAGACGTCCCATATCAAGGAGATGATACTTTTACTTATTCTGCAATCGTGGCATATTGCCTCTATGATATTTTATATCAAAATTCTGAAGACAGGAACTTGTTAGGGTGAGTTTCTTTGGCGTTTGCATGCATTCCTTTGCGTGCAAACACCAAAAGATATTTTTAATAGCTTCCAGATGAACGCACATTAATGAATAGAATAACGCTAATAGAAACATTCTGTTAGAATCCTAAATATGTCTACTCCCGTCATGTAAGAGAGATAGATAGAACACACGCATACCACCCATTTGTGCGCACACGGACATAAAAAGAGAATAAAAAGTTGCTTCATACCAGATGATCGAGGTGCTGGGGGAACATAAGCCCCAAAAGCCCTATCGCCACCTTTGGGAATATCAGACTTGTTGAACTTCACTTCAAAATGGGGCTTAGCTTTCAGACCATCACCTTTAACCATGCGAACAAATCTCAAAAATGTTTCTTCAGGAACTCCTAAAGAGCCAACATTTAGTTCAATTGTATCAAAACCCAATTGCTTGCATTCCTATAATAAATAAGAAACCACGTCAATCACTGATTTATAAATCAGAAAAGAAAATTCATTACAGAATAATTATGCAATCAGCTCAGACCTCAATATATTCCTTAAAAGCTGATGGACCTTTCCCAACCATATGTTCAGCCCAATTGCCTGTACTAACATAAACATCATGCTGATGGGCCATGTCAATCATTTCTTTAATAACGGTCTTTGGGATCAGGCTGTGAGAACCTCCAGAAAACTTCAATCCATCAACAAATTCTCCCATAGACTCAAAAATATCCTGTGAAACAGAATATTTTCATTGCTCCAAAATTAGGACAAAAGAGTGCCAATGAACCCGGTGCAAAAATTAATGAGAATTATAATCCACTATAGATATGTAGTGAGTTACGGAATACAGTTCACACCCTATATTTTGACATTAGCCAATAGGTTTGCAATGGTTATGCCTCCAGCATGTTCAACGTCAGGAACAATGAAAATAAAATAAAAAGGCAGGAAAAAGCTTCCTGTCTATCTTAAGATAGACAGTACAGGCAGGGGAAAAAAACCTCAGTTCAGCACTTATTTTGAGGTCAAAACAGATACAAGTGCAAAACCTAACAAGCGATATAGCTGCAACAACATTCATTACCTGATGTCCAGAATCAATCCTCGAAAAAGATCTTCGTGATCGTCAAAAAAAAAAAATCATAACGAAATTATATACCTGAAGAACATTCTGATTTAAAAGCGAATAATGAGGACCTCTCATCTCAGTGACACCGTAGCGACGAGGCTTTTCGGGGCGATCCTCGTTCTCCTCGAAGCTTTTCCATCGGTAAGCTGACATTTCCAAGGACCGCTTGAGCTTCACGAGTTAGTAAAGCAGAGGAAATGTAAGTTGAAAACAAATTCAAATTCGCCTGGAATTGGTTTTCTTTCTTCAGAAGCTAATTTTGTTTCTCGGTGTGGTCATTCTTTTATAATCTACGACTAACACTATATATCCGATCCTTGTTTTCTTTTGAAAAATGGACATGACAAGAAGATTGATTTTAGGAGATAACTGGAGAAGGATGGAGTTCTTTCTAGAGAACGGCTTAAACGTCGTCGTTCTGTCATCGCTTATCACATTCCCCGCGTCCTCCAGCTCACCAGCTCAACAACCAACGGTGGTTCCCGCGCCCTACACGTGTCATGCGCTGAGGCCAGAGCCTAGAGCGTTTTTTTTACCAGCGCCAGAGCCTAGAGCTGGTTGCCTGGTGGCTGCTTCATTTTCATTTTTCAGTAAATTATCGATTTAGTTATATTTTTTTATTAATTTAGGATTTAATTTAT